AGCTTGCCACTTCAGCTAGCCTAGCTGACTGAAAATCCCCAGAGGTCTGCCTGTCTTCTCCCTGCAATTCTGGGGTTACAGGTGAATGCTGCCATGATCAGCTTTCACATGGCTGCTGGGTATGTGATTGCAGGTCCTCACGCTCGCACAGCAAATACTTCCTTCCCTGCTGAGCCATCTCCTCAGTCTCCACCTCGACATTTAAAACTGGTTATTTGTCTATTGGTTTTGGGAGGAGTTTGTTTGTTTGCTTTTGGAGACAGTGTTTCTCAGTGTAACAGCTCTGGCTGTCCTGGAACTCACTCTGCAGACCAGGCCTGCCTCTGCCTCCTGAGTGCTGGGGTTACAGCCATGCACCATCACTGCCCAGCTTTATTTATTTTTTAAGACAGGGTCTCTCCATGTAAAACTGTTTTTAGTTCCTCAATTTTATCTTTCAACTTTTTAAAGTTATTGTATTTTCTTACTGCATATATTTATGGGGATGTGTGTGCCGTCTTGCTCACAATATTGTAGCTGAGATTACAGACCAGGGCTAGCTACCACAGCGGGCTAGCAACTGCTAGATTTTATCTTTGCATGTGCAGCCCAGAGTCAACATTGGTTGTCTTTCTCTATTGGTTGCTACTTTTACTTTTTTTCTATTTATAAGTATGTGTGAGTGTGTATCATTTGTGTGTGGAAGTCTGATGATATCATCAGTTCCCTGGAGCTAGAGATACAGGCAGCTGAGAGACCCCCAACATGGGTGCTAGGAGTCTCAGGTCCTTTGTAAGAGCAGCAGCACTCTTAAGCACTGAGGCATCTCTCCAACATCCCACTATTTTTCTTCTTTTTTTTTTTTTAGTTCAGTGTTTCTCAACGATGTTGGAAACCGAGATCCTCAGTCCTGGAATTCTGTATGGGTACACTGCTGTACCCGGCCATTTGACATGCCTGTTGGGATTGAATTCAAAGTATTGCTTGTGTAGCAAGTACTTTACCAACCAAGTCATCTCCTTGGCCCCTTTTTATTTTGGGGGGGACAGTCATTTCATAGCTCAGCCTGGCTGCAAATGCATATACTCCTGATTGGCCTTGAATGTGCAACAATCCTTCTGCATCCAGCTACTGAGTTCTGGGGTCACCCTTGTGCACTGCACGGCTAGGGGCTTCCAATCCCAGTGTCCTTCTGCCCCAGCACCTCCTTTGCAAAGCTCTGCACTATCCGTTCCACCACAGACCCCCTTGAGTCTAAGCCACCTCATGCCGGAGCCAACGGAAGCGCTGCTTCCTCCGCTGACTAGCGCCACACAACAAATGGTCTTGTCAACAGCAAGTCTACAGAGGGCAGAGAGCAACTTGTGGGAGTCAGTTCTTTCCTCCAAGTGGGTTCTAGGGTTCAGACTTAAGATTCCCAGCCTTGGAGACAAGCACTTCATCCACTGGGGCAAGTTGTGGGCCCAGTCTGTCTGTCTGTCACTCATCACATTCTCCTTGTGTGTGTCTAGGACCATCATGTGTGTGAATCTGGGTGTCACACACATGCAGACAAAGGACAGTCTGGACCTAGCCTTCTAGCTAGTTTGAGATAGTCTCTATGTTGTCATGAGTCATTGTTGTCCTCATGTGTGTCCATGTACCCCAATCTTCTCCACTTCTCATGTCCCCATAGGAGCCCTAGGGTTACAGACACTTGTGCTACGTGTCTGGCTTGTACTGGGTTATGGAGATCTGAACTGCAAAGGCTTTTATGCACTGAGCCCTTCCATATTATACTTAAAATGTCCCGAGGCTCGGGGGTTATCAATTGATGTAGTTGAATGTACCAATTAAGGGTGCAATATTGATGATGGAGAGGGACAAGGAGAGAAGGCTCAGGAGTGTGGGAGTACCTTGATCCCCATTCCTATAGGCTAAGGTGAATGATGGAAAGGAGAGCACAGCTAAGTTATAAAGCATCTCTGAGATATCAAAGTCACTCTTCATGTATCACATGCTGCATGTTAATTATGTCTGTTTTATCCATTGGGCACAATGAAAACCTACTATATGCCAGGCACTACTTTAAACAGTGAGACACATGATCTTGGCCTTGTAGAACTTGTCATTTAGAGGGGGTAGCAGAGGTTAAATGATCTTTAGGTAGCAAGAGGTGTGCTGAAGGACAGGGTACCAAGCCTACCTGGGTCCTACATAATAGCACATGCCTGTCATCCTATGACTAGGAGAATCAGGCCACTGGGCAACAAAATGAAGCCCTATCTTGAAAAACCAAGGGCTGGAGATATATGTAGTTCAGTGGTCGAATCACAGTATCTGGAGACTACATGGGACAATGTGGTCAGGACCAGTGTCACTTGACATCTGGAACAAGGAGTAACAGGAAGGAACTCACCAGGTGGTAATCAAAGAGATGAAGCAAAAATTACAAGTTCTGAGGCTACAAATTAAGGATCATTCAAGAAACAGTAGAGTGGGCAAAAGCAAGAGGGAGGGCTAGAGAAGTTCTTTGAAGTTTCTATTCCATGTGAATGGGTGTTCTGTCTGCATGTGATGTACGTGCACCATGTGTGTGCCCATGACCAAGGAGGCCAGAAGAGGGTGTGGGATACCCCTGGAATCAGAGTCATAAAGATTATGAGCTGCCATGTGGGTGCTGGGAATTGAATCCAAGTCCTCTGGAAGAGAAGTCAGTGCTCTTAACCACTAAGCCATCTCTCCAGCTCTTGGAGAAGTGTTTTGTTCTTAAAGTCAAGTTTCTCTGCTTCTGAGGGCTAAAGATGGAAGAGCAGCCCTGCCTTGCTTTTCTATGAATGCTCCCAAGGTCCTAAATTTCTTGGGAGAAGTGTCCTGTGTAAACAGTGTGGTCTAGACAGGTAGGCAGTCCTTGAATATCCTTTCTCAGCACCTGTGAAACTGACAGTGAACTCCACCGCTCAGAAACCTTGCTGGAGCTCCTGGGGGCGGGGTGGGAGAACAGCGGGCTCTCCTTCACTGGAGAGTCCAGTGTTTGGAACTAGAAGTGCTAGAGCCTCTCTGCAGAAGCTTCTGTCCGGGGACTTTACAGAGGGGCAGAATTCTCCCATTTCAGATACCAAAATGTAGGCAGTGTCCAGACCCATTAGGAGCAGGAGAGATGGCTCAGTGAACGCACTGGCTGCTCTTGTAGAGGACCTAAGTTCACTTCCCAGAGCCCACAAGGTGGCTTACATCCATCTGTAACTCCAGTTCCAAGGGATCCAACACTCTTCTGACCCCTGTGGCACGAGGCATGCACATGATGTACAATACACACACACACACACACACACACACACACACACACACACACACACACACGCGCGCGCGCAGGATAAACACGCACAAAAATCTAAAGGACAAAACCCAACCAAACCCCTGAGAACCAGCACTCTTCAGAATGTCCTCTCTTTTCCATTTTGGGACAGAACTGGCTTTATGTATGCTCAGCAAGTGCTGCCTGCTAAGCTTCATCACCAGCCCTCTTAGCCCTATTTTACAAGAGGAAAGTACACCTCGCAGGCTAAGAAGAGGGAGACCTGGGAACATGAACTCAAGCAGGCATTTCTGATGTCTGCTCAACAGTTAATGCTGAGATTGCAGGCTTAGAGCACTATACCCAGTTTATGCAGAGCTGGGGATCAAACCCTGGGCTCTGTTCATGCTAGTACAATGGTTAATCTTGGTTTTCAACTTGATTGGCTTGGTCAATGAAGAGACTCATCCTCTGGACAGGTGTGTGATGTTATTTCCTGGACGGATTAACTGATGATGGGGCAAGTCTCCCCTAGAGTGAACAGATTTTTCGGAGGTAGCCACAAGGGTAAAGCAGGTCTGGTTTTGTCTGCCAGCCTTCATGCTCTGCTGGGCAGTGTATCTACCAGGTGGCTGCTGCTGCCATCTTCCACTAAAACCAGCTTTTTTTTTTGCCTTCCAACATGGATTGAAGATGAGCAGCTATCCAGGAATCCTCCAGGCCGTCAGCACCAGATTGAGACTGTTAAGACACCCAGCCCTGTGGACTGAAAAGCTACCAGGAATACTAATGCACTAAGCAAACCCTCTACCAACTGATCTACATTATATCCCCATTATATCTCCATCACTGATTAAAGTCGTACATACAAAGCAGCACTTCTAGCTGATAGAGCAAGAGGTTGGGCTTAGGGAGCTGGTAAGCCAGAGGAAATCAACTAGTTAAAAGATGGTATGAGGAAAGATGGACCTACAATTCTTGCTGCAAAACTGTAAATTCCTGGACCATAAAAAGACTGATTTTGGGGGCTGGAGAGATGACTTAGTGGTTAAGAGCATTGGCTGCTTTTCCAGAGAGGTCCTGAGTTTAGTTCCCAGCAACCACATGGTGGCTCACAACCATCTGTAATGGAATCAGATTCCTTATTCTGGTGTATATATAAAACACATAGCCGGGCGGTGGTGGCGCACGCCTTTAATCCCAGCACTCGGGAGGCAGAGCCAGGCGGATCTCTGTGAGTTCGAGGCCAGCCTGGTCTCCAAAGCGAGTTCCAGGAAAGGCGCAAAGCTACACAGAGAAACCCTGTCTCGAAAAACCAAAAAAAAAAAAAAAAAAAAAAAAACCCCCAAAAAAAACCACATGAATAAGTAAATCTTAAAAAAAAAAAAGGGCCGACTTTTGTCTTAAGAATCAAAGTTATGGAGGTGTGCAAGGGGTGTGTAGGTGTGTTCACATACTTGCACAGTAAAGAGAGGGCAGCAAGGGTAATTCCAGCACTCAGGACTCTGAGGAAGGCAGACTATGGAAATACTGAAGCCAGCTTGAGCAACATACTGAATATAGTGAATCTTTGACCAGCTACAGACAGGGACTCCATCTCAAAGAGTCAAGGACAAACAAACAAAAAAACCAAACCAAAAAAAAAAAAAAAAATCCAAATAAACCCACCAACAACAAAAACAAAAACAAAAAAATCCGATGAATTCAAATGAAAACATTACAATGAAACTCATTTCTGGCCAAGTGTGGTGATGTATGCCTTTAATCCTTGCATTTAGAGGGCAAAAGCAGGTGGCTCTGATTCAAGAACAGCCTGGTCCAACCTAGTGAGTTCCAGGCCGGACAGAGCTGCATGAGGCTGTCTTTAGAAAACAAAAATAGAAACCCACACCAAAACCATACTTGAATGCTACCCCAAAAAATTACTTAAAATCAAGGTTAGGGTGAATGTAATCAGAACATATCATATACATATATGAAGCAGTCAAAAAAAAACAAATTGAAGAATACAACAAAGAAATTACAGGCTAGCTGGCCAAGCCGGTCTGTCCTTCCAGAAAACACTAAAACCTTCGGGGTTTCCCAAATGTGGCTAGTGTACGCAATTTCTTCACATGTTAAAACTAGGTAGTAAAATCTACATGCCATTCATTAATCCTGGACCCATCTGCTCCTGAACCCGACTTGCAGACCGGGTACCCAGGTGGGGAGGATAAGGGAGTATCGAGCATATATAGTTATACATCAGTTGTTTTTTTTTTTTTTTTTTTTTTTTTTTTAAATCTCAGACTGTAGCTCAGGCTGCCTCGGCCTTGGAGATACTGAGATTGTAGGTGTGTCGCCACGCCTAGTCAGTACACATGATCTTTATATCCTTCTATACACATGTTTTAGGTCTAAGTTGGAGCACCAATGGTTTAAGGTAGCTGTTAAAATTGACTGGTCTAAGGACGCGCCTCCGCGAAACTTTTGTAAGCGCAGAGGTCCGGACAGGGACTCCAAGGGCAATTAAGCACGTCCAAACCCAGCTCTGATCGAGTCTTTAATCGGCTGTGTGACCTTGGACACGCTCCGCGCGCTCTCTGGGCTCCAGTTTCCAAATCCGCACGTTGGAAGGTGAACCACGTGGTCCTCACGGTCCTGCTCAGCCGAGAGCCTGGCAGACGGCAGACCTCGCTATAACAGCAGCTTCCTGTGGGCGCGGCACAGGACTTTAACGGTCCCCCCCCTCCCCGCCCCCTCTGAGGCCCGCGAAACCCTCGCTTTTGACACCCCTGCCAGGGACCGCGCTACGCACAGCCCGGTCCGAGCGGCTCGCGCGCAGCTCCGCCCCTCCCCGGAGGCGTCCCGTCGTGCCCCGCGCTAGAATGTGAGGAGTCCGGCCGACTCCCGCCTTTACGCCCGGCGACCCCGAACTCCTCTCCCCTGTTCTCCCGGCGCCCCATCCTATCAACGTCCAGAGTCCTGGCCAATAGGGCGCGCTCCGAGCCTTACCTTCCGCCCGCCCTCCGGCCCGCGCACAGCCGGTGCGAGCCCGAAGGCCTTTACCAGGCCAGCCCAATCAGCAGCCGGCTCTTTCCTGCCCCACCCCAATGTCCCTCCCCTCGGCCAATGAGCGCTCCCCATTCCGCCGCCCGCCCAGCCAACCGGGCCTTGAAGCCCGCGGGCGAATAGGCGCGCCGCGGCCCTTCAACGTTAACCTTCTGGCCAATTGGCGAGTCTGCGTAGCCGCGGCAGCAGCCAATCATCGCGCAGCGCGGCGCCGCCGCGGAGAGGTCCGGCAAGAATATCCCTCCGCCTCCCTCCCTCAATCTCTCTCCCTTCTAGCGATCCGCCTCTCACTGACTGCCGCCCTTCCTTCTTTCTCCCTCCGCCGCCTGAGCACCAGCCGCGCTCTGAGCTGCCCCCGGGGTCCCTCCCCCGCCGCCAGAGGAGCAGCTGCCGCCGCCTAGCACGTTTAGGAGGGCGGAAGGAAGGAGAGAGGGGAGGAAGGGGAGACAGAGCGCCTGCCCGGAGGCAGCCGGTGAATGGGCTTGTGGTGACCCCCGCCCCCCACCCCACCCTCCCTTCCCACCCGACCCCCAACCCCCATCCCCAGTTGGAGCCGCCGCCCGAGAGGCCGGGCCGTCGTCTTTGGAAGAGTCCCCGCCGCCGTCACCTCCGCCATGGAGCTGATCACTATCCTCGAGAAGACCGTGTCTCCGGGTAGGACTCGGGGCCGGGGGTCGGGCTGAGGTGACTGGGGTGGGGGAGGGGGCGGCCCCTCTGACCCCGCTACCTCTCCCCATTCCTCCCCCCCAGATCGGCTGGAGCTGGAAGCGGCGCAGAAGTTCCTGGAGCGTGCGGCTGTAGAGAACCTGGTGCGTGCTGCCCCGCCGCGCCCCATCCCGCCGCGTCCCCATCCCTGCGTGCGGGCCTTCCCGCCCTCCTGGAGGCCCAGGCCTCAGGAACCCACCCCGCCCCATCTCGTCCCCCTTCCCCCCCGCCCGGTCCAACCTAACCCCGCCATCGGGAAGCCGGTGGGTGTGTCCCGCCCCGGGCCCTGCGTCTGTCCAATGGCGAGGCGCGCCGGGGTGATTGCTGTCCAATCGCCGTGCGGCCTGAGGGCGGCGGTGCAGCGGGAGGGAGAAAGAGGGAGGGAAGGGAAGTTAGGTTGCATGGCGCTGCGTGTTCAGCAGGGGTGGGGGTTGGGGAGCCGGGCCTAGGGGCCATGTGGAAGCTCTGCGCCCTGCTGCCTGCCTTCTACTGGCTGGGGCCGGCTTTTCCTTCCTGTCCCATGGCTCTTGTGGCTGTCGGCACCTACTTCCTAGAGCCCTACCCTTTCCCAGCTCCCTTAGTCTGTGCTCATGGCCACGCCTGGCACCCGACCACCTCTGAACCCAGTGCCACTATTTTTTTCTCTTTCGTGCCTTGTATCCCTCCCCTGAGCTTAGTGTGCATGTGTGTTGTGTTTGAGCTTGGATCATTAGGGACCTCATCCTTAGGGAGCTGTACCCTGACCAGAGTCTGAAGCTCATTCCTGAGATTGAGCCTTATTCCCTCAAGAAATCACAGAGGTGTAAACCCGTTTTTCATATTTACTGATTTAGGAAGTACATTTAACAAAAAAAAAAAGAAAAGACTGACCGTTGTGTTGGAAAATGGGAGATGATTGAAATAGTCTGGTGCCAGAACGTTTCTCTTTCGTATCCCTCTTTTAGGGAGTAGATAACAGGAAAGGGTGGATGGTATTGAAAGTCTCTTAAAGGTAGTAAGAAAAACAACAACAACACTGTAACCAAATGTCCTTTGTGATAGCTCGGTAAAATAGTAACATCCATAAAGTGGCAAAACCCATTGGTACAAACTGCTTTTCTTTTTGGTATTTAGGTAAGGGACTTTATATTAACCTTTTATCTTTTAACTCACCCCCTTTCAAGCATTTCCTTGTTAGTGTAGACTGACAATTCCACTCGTGGTATATTATTTTGCCGATTTGCAAGGAGATCCTTTACCTTGCTCCTCACACTCTTCAGTGGTACATAATAAACCTTGGGAGTTACCTCCTGTGTTTTTAGAGCTTACTAATAGTGAGGAAATATGTCTACTTTTGGCTTCTTTAACTTTCCTGTTTAGGCAGATTCATATACGGCCCCCCCCATGTGTGTGTATACACACTCATGCTAGAATGTGTTAAAAGTTTTAGAGTAGCTTTTGGGCCTCTTATCTAAAAAAAGGTATTTGGATGATTCACTCTTAGTCCAAAATATGAGAGGGCTTTTGGTATGTGTTGCTATTAAACAAAATGATTTTTTTTGAGACAACTTGTCATTTTTTTATCTTCATTTTTTCCCCCATTCTACTGAATATTATCACTTTTACTTACATCCCTTCTGTTGAATACTCAGAACTAAACTGCAGAGGACAGGGCCCTTACATCTGTTTTAGACTTAAATATATTTCTATTAAAAAAGATCACTTGTACAAGATTCAGAAAGCTGCCCTGAGTTATTATTTTTGGACTAGATTTAAAATTTTTAAAGTGTACACCAATTTTCTCCCTCCCTTGTCCTATTCAGCCAATTGGCGGTACTGGGCCTTCTTATACCTAGGATAACCCACTGTCACGTTGTCAGATTTGCTTTAATTCTGGGGAGCTATCAGAAGATTGTGCAAAGGATGATCTTTGTAGGAAGATCCAGTCTCTTTGTCTAGTAAGTAATGCTTACTTTGAAGTGGGGTCTTGTTACATTGCTTAGTTTGTTTTTGGCCTTAAGAGTTTTGAACCCAAGGAAAGCTCTTGAGTGTTGAATCTAGGCAGGCACCACTTCAAATAGATATTTCCCAGTTTCCTCAGAGGTTTTGATTTGATCTAAATTTCTTTGGTGTGTGCCTCAGTAATTTAGTGCTCTACAAGGAAGTTGGAATTTCTGAGATAATCACAACTGCATTTTTCCTCAACAGCCCACGTTCCTCGTGGAACTGTCCAGAGTGCTGGCAAATCCAGGAAACAGTCAGGTTGCCAGAGTTGCAGCTGGTCTACAAATCAAGAACTCTTTGACATCGAAAGATCCAGATATCAAGGCACAGTACCAGCAGAGGTGGCTTGCTATTGATGCAAATGCTCGACGGGAAGTCAAGAACTATGTAAGTGATTGTCATATAGCCTAAGGAATGGTGTTGTCAGATCTTGGTCATTTGCATGGCTTAGAACTTGACAGTGATATGTTTCTAAGACCTAAACTTAACCTGAAGGTAGAAATTTTGTTTCATTAAAATCTCTCAGTGTGGCAAAAAGTATTTGGATAGGTTGGGTTCAGCTGACTAAGGTAACCTGCAGCAGTTTGTTAGAATTGGAGAAATGCAAGCCGTGTGGTGGTGGCACATGCTTTAATCCCAGCACTCAAGAGGCAGAGGCAGGCGGATCTCTGTGAGTTCGAAGCCAGCCTGGTCTACAGAGCGAGATCCAGGACAGGCACCAAAACTACACAGAGAAACTCTGTCTTGAAAAAAACAAACAAGAATTGGAGAAATGCAGGTTTTGGTGCTGTATATCACCTCCACCTAAGAAATTTCACTAATGTTATATCTCCGTATGTGGGAGTTTAACTCAGTGATAGGTACTTCTAGTATCTACAAAGCCTCAGGTTCTCTCCTTAGCACCACATAAGAGACTGAAGTATTTTATGTATCAGGGATCTCTAGAATGAAGCTGGAAATTCTTTCCATACAGTCTTATGTAGTCTAGGCTAGCATCAAATTCTTGGTCTTCTGTCTTCACTTCTGAAGTCCTAGGATTGTAGGTATGTGTCACCACACTGCACTCTGATTGTGTGTGTGTGTGTGTGTGTGTGAGAGAGAGAGAGAGAGAGAGAGAGAGAGACAGATAGACAGACAGACAGACAGACAAGGTATTAAGTAATGCAGCTGGCTTTGAGTTTACAATATTGTAAAAGGGGTGCTATGAACTCTTACCTTCATACTTTTACCCTGAATACTGGGGTACAGGTGTATGCCATCATGCCTGGATTTTCAGAGATATTTTAAAATATTTTCATTTTTATTTATGTGTGTTTATTTATGTTTGGGTGCCTTTGGAAGCCAGAAGAGGGTGTCAGGCCCCTGGAACTGGAGTTATTTGCCATTGTGAGCCATCAGACAAGGGTGCTGGGAACTGAATTCTCAGGTCCTTTAGCAGAGCAGAAAGTGTTAACAACTGCTGAGCTATCTCTCCAGCAGTCAGGCAGCTCCCGGTGAGCTTCAGCGGCTGGTTCCTGTCATGATACTGTGTAAAGTCCGAGGGAGAATTGGGTAATTTTGTGTCTTCCAAATGTAAAGAGTTTGCAAATGGGAGTATGACATTAACAGACCATTTATTTGTTTTATTGGTTTATTTTGCGTCTGGGTCTCACTAGACCAGGTTGGCCCCAAACTCACAATCTACCAGCCTCTGCTTCCTGAATGCTGGGATCTAAGGTGTGTGCCACCACGCCTGGCCCTATTATTGGTTCTTTTATGTACCAGATTGTGAAAAACTTGAGATCTCAACACTGTGGTTCAGATGATGGATTTTAAGGAACATACAGAGTCCTTTGCTGTTTTGTATCATGGCTTCTTTGTGAGGTTTGCTGTTGTTGTTGAATTAGCCATCCAGCTAAAGCCTAGGATTCAAACAGGCAGGTTTGTCTTCTTTGCTTTTAATTAATAAGGTTATTTAGTGGTCTGCATTACATGGATAAGGGCCAAAGGAAGCTGGGTAAATTAAACAGCTGTGTAGTCATAATTTGTTCTGGGCATTTAAGATGGAAACGAGAAATTTCTGTGTACTTTTGCAGGTTTAGATTATGGACATAGTAATTGCTGGATTTTGATGCCAGCTTTAGGCAAATTAGTATTCTTTGAGGCTGATGCTTCCCCAGCAGTGACCCTCCTCTCTCTTTCCTTCAGTCATGCTTTCTAGTGCCTGTCACTTGGCATGCAAGTTAGGAAAGCAACTTACTTTGACTCTTCCTTGGATTATATAAAGCTGTTTCTATCCAAATTGTCCCTTCTTGGAAATGACATTTTTGTAAAGTGTTGTTTTTAGACAGGGTCTCACTATGTAGCCTTAGATGGCCTCAAACCCACAAAGATCCACCTGCCTCTGCTTCCCTAGTGCTGGGATTAAAAGTGTGCACCACTGTGTCTAGCTGTTCTCGTTATTTTTAATA